CGTCATTTCTCATTCAAGGTTATCCTTGAGGTTTATTATTCAGTTAAATTCCTATTATGAAAATGCTGTGAATATGGATCAAGACTAAGTTCTGTATTCTCATTTATTAAAAATTTAGGTTATGAGATAAAAAAATCATTGAGTCTTCATATTATGCTAACCAGTTCTTGTTTTTCTTTTCTGTTATTTGGGACTTTGAGACATGGAATAATCAGAACTGGGAAGGACTTGATACAGATTCTTAAAAGTTCCTTAATCTTATCTAGACTGTACTGTTGCCACCTCTGATAATAATAACTGGCCTATATTGAGTGCCTGCCATGTGCCAGGCACTGTGCTAAGTATTTTACACACGTGGTAATCACCACATTAATAGCAAGGTACATCGATCACCTTACAAATGAGAAAACTGAGGCTGATGAGAGATTCAGTACCATACCTGAGGTCACACAGCTAGTAAGTGACAGAGCCTGAATTTCACTCAAAATTTGTCTGACTCGAAATCCTACACCTCTTTCACTGCATAAAATTTTTTCTCAACCAGCAATTGCTATAAATATCTGAGGAGATATACAACTATACAGTGGTAGCAAAAACTGGAAAAAAGAAACAGGATTATTGGATTTCTATTTTTAAATATGGCAAATTTTTATTTTAGACTTGAAAATTTTGAAATAGAATTATAGAAGTATTTGTTAAAATTCTAAATCTAATTTGTTAATGTTTCTAGTGGAAAATTGATAGTCTTTTCTTCAATGCAGTAGTCACCAAGAATGGCTTTTCTATCTCTAGTTTTAAGACAAAATTGGCTGCGGCATTGGCAAGATGTCGGATCAAACATGATGCCCTTTCAATTTACCACATTCTTCCAGAAACCATTAGGAACCAGGAACTAAGGGCCTCTACTTTGCCACTTTATGCTTGGATAAATACTTGTAAAATCAGGTAAGAGTTTTAATCAGATTCTTTATTTATATTTTAAGTCACTTGTCTTTCAAAATAATGTGATAAGAAATACTACCTTTTTAATGGGTGGGGGAGTGATTGGAGAATCATAGTTTAGTTCAGGATCTTATCACCAGATTACCAGATTAATTACATAAATATATTTTTGTCTCTAATTATTTTTAACTTACTTTTGACTAAAATTGTAAGTTCCATTAGATGCAATATATACAGTGATATTTTAATCTATTGTAGGAAAAAGATGCTAGTGTTAAATACATTTTAATGTATTATATTTGTAATTACAACCTAATGTTGTATATTTACAGCCCTGAAGAAGTTTATCATAGTTTGAAGAAAAAAGGCTATAATAAAGTCGAATCTATATTGCATATTGATGACAAAGTCTTTGCTGTGGATCAACATTGCTATGATGTATTAATTTTTCCATCTCATCTTAAAAGTGATCTTCTAAATACAGATCTTTTCAAAGATTATAAACTTATATTTCAGGTAAACTAACATTTACTTTCATTGTGATTCTTAGTAATCTTACTTACCCAAAGAATTCCTCCACTTAAAAATAAAACTTAACAAGTGAGTTATATTTTATATAAGTTATCAAGGAGGTTTATAAGGCCTAATTTTCACATGAAATAAAAATTAATGCCCCTACAATCAGTGTTCCTGTAATACTTTGGCATCCTTTCCCCATGTGAAGTGGCCATATGGTAAAAAAACATATTCTCCTTCCTAGACTCCATAGATGGGGGAACTTTTATTGCCTGCAGCTGAAAGGCTATATTTTTGCCAAGGGAGAATTCAGGCAAAGGTACAATGATTCCTTTTCTTCCTTCCATTTCTGGGGAACATGCTAGTGCCATCCTACATTTGACAATGCGATGTATAATACTTTCCCTTTATCTCTTTACTATTGTCCTAAAGCTTTGATTTGTAAGACGTGCGTAATGGCTATCAGTGCAGGAAGAGAATGGTGAGGTAGAATGTGGTTTCAGTAGAATGAAAAATAAAAAGTCCTAGAAATTAGGTTAAGTTAGTTTTTATGTGTTTAGATTCCAATTCTTGCCTCAGATTCACTTTAGTCTTCTAAGGCTCATCCCTTCACTGCACCCACATTCTTGGGCAGAGTCTCTTGACCTTATTTTGTAGTCACAGCCTGTTGAGCAGAGATCAATGTCTGTGTAGTCCCCTTTTATTAAGCTTATAAACCATCTTTTCATTTCTGTGAACTAGCAGCAATTTAGATGATAATGTAATGGGAAAGGAAAAATGGCATTAGCAGATTGAGTGCATTTTCACAAAGGCTTAAGAATGGGAACTAAGGCAGGACATCAATAATCTATTAATCACACTTTGGGGATTTTTGCTTTATCACTGTATAAAAGATTAATAATAGTCATAATTTAGGCTTAACAAAGTTAGGGTGTTGTTTTAAATCAGTTTATATCATTTATCTTTGTTAACTTTATATTAAGATGTTTTAAACTCAGATGGTTTAGGTGTCTCTTAAAGATTTTTACTAATACTTTTTTTTAACTCAAGGTAAAAAGTCAGTACATGCTTCTCGTCAAACCCTTTGAAATCCTAATCATACCATTATCTTGTAGGACAAATCTCGAAGTCTCGCTGTCCATTCTGTAAAGGCTTTATTAAACATGGATGATGATATCTTAATGGTCAATACAGGTTCGTGGTACACGGTTGCCCATATGTCAGTCTTAACAAATAATAATACCTCAAAAATATTTGTGTGTGGAGTACAATCACAAGCTAAGGATCCTGACCTGAAGAACCTTTTCACAAAAATGGGATGTAAAAGTATGTACAAATTTTTTTCTTTGGTGTTTATGTTCTGTAAGATTTAGAATGTTAAAAAACACTTGCATATGTTATCTTTCTGTAATATAAAACTCTATACATGAACTATACTCCTAAAATCCTCACTAATCCATATTATATCAGGCTGTTCTTGTTTCTTAATATTAGTATACAACTGCAGTTTAAATTAATAAAAGTATTGGCACTTTGGTATATTGCTTGATATTTAGCTACTATATAATTCGATGTTCAGACAACAATTAAAGTAAGTAGCAGAAGTTATCATGTTTTAATAAATAATAACACAATCACAGGCATGCATAAGGGACAGAGATAATGTCTAGGACTAGATACTGAGTCCCTTAGGCTTCTTACTCAAAAAAAAATTTTTCCATTGGATCTTGCAGTGACAAAAAAATACCATTTTATTATAGGTTCAGTGAGGCTAAAAAACTAAAACTTTCAATAGATTCACAGGGTCAGAGGGACAATAAGTAGAATTTAGGGCTTAACATGGAGAGGTAGACTGGTAAATACTCAGAATTTCAGTTGGAGCGCGGAAGAGTATATACTCTTGGTAGTGATCAGCCCTCTGATGAATCGAAACCCAGATTCCAATCATCTCAATTCCCAGGTGGCTTAAGGTATTCTGGGACTGTTAGTGCCCAGGCTTACCTGCCTAGCAGAGGCAAAAACAGATTCTCTCTGAAAGAAAGTAATAACATCCCAGATTTCACATTACCTCCTAAAGTTTTTTCAAATGCAGTGTGGCACTCAATAAAAAAATACTCACATAAAAAAGAAGAAAGATATGAGTGAAATAAAGAGAAAAGCACTGCAAGAGAAGCGAACTCACAGAAGATCCATGTACTGGAGGTATCAGATGTGGATTTTAAAATAACTGATTAATGTGCTAAAGAGACTAAATGACAAGTAGAATTTTAGCAGAGAACTGGCAACTGTAATAAAATGTCAAAAGAAAATTCTAGAACTGAAAACTACAATATATGAAATTAAAAAATAGATGTAACAGTAGATTAGAGCTAAAGAAGAATAAGTAAACTGAGAAGTCATAAGAAGCTATCCATCGGGAGACAAAAGGATGAATAATATAGAAGAGATACTAAAGGACACGTGAGACTCAGTGATCTAGTGATCTCATGTTATGTTGTGGTTGGGAACCCAGAAAGAGAGGAGAAAAGGAATTGAGAAGACACAATATGTGAAACTCAGGCCGGGAATTTTTCAAAATGGATGAAGACCACAGATTCAAGAAGCCCTATGAACTCTAGTAAGAGTAAATGCATAAAAAACATAGTAAGCACATCATAGCATAACTGCTGAAAACCAAAAACAAAGAGCAGCCAGGGAGATAATACATGTTACCTTCAATGAAATAGCAGTAAAACTAAGAATTAACTTTTCAAAAGAAACAACTGAAGTCAGAGACTATTAAACAAATCTTCATATGAAAAAAGACAGCCCAACTGAAAAATATATAAGAGACAGGACTAAGCTTTTTACAAAAGAAAATATACAAAGGCCAAAAAACCTTATGTAAAAGTGCCTCACTCCATTACCAGTCAGGGAAATGCAATTAAAATCACAACTTACCACAACATACCACATATCCACAATGATTAAAATTGAAGAGATGGCAGTACAACGTCCTGGCAAGGTAGGGAGCATTGAGAATGCTCAAACACTGCTGGTAGGACTGTACATTTTGTACAGTGACTTTGGAAAACCAGCATTAATCTCTACAATTGAAAATATACATGCCCTATGATCTAGCATTTCACTTCAGGTTTATTACCCCTTTGAATTTTTACCTAGTTAAAGAGAGAGTAGGAACCACTGGGTAACCAAGCAGTAGAGGAAGAGAAGTTTCTTCTTTTAGAAATATTCCCGCTGGCAAATAAAAAAGGGAAGACAGAATTAGAATATGACTAGTTACCATAAAGGCAATTTAATGGATGACTATGACACCACTTGTGAAGTAGGTTTGTGACACACACACACACACACACACAAACCCTGAATTATTTAAGCTCTAAAGATCCAACTACTAATTTATAGGAAGCACAGAAGACAGGAACATGTTAAACTACACTCTGGGAAAGCAATTAGCAAAATCCAGACTCTGGAAAACTCTACTAGTACAAATAAGCATACTTCATTAAGAAATAAATGATAAGAAAAAGTGGAAAAGGTACCTATCAATAAAAAGAAATTTAAAATAAGATGTCAGCCAATTGCAATGATATACCTTATCTAAATCCTGATTCAAACAAACTGTAAAAAAAATTTTGACATGTATGAAACTTGGAAAATTTGAGCCATGATTGGATGTCATTATTATTTGATGATAATAAAAAATTACGTTTTTAAATGTATGTGGTTGTATTTTTTAAGTTCTTATCTTTCAGAGATATATGGTGAAATATTTTACAGATTCAAAATAATGTGGAGGAGTGGAAATGGGTGCAGTATATGGGCATGAATGGCTCTCTGTTGAAGCGCCATAATGGGTACTTGAGAATTTATTGCATATTATCTCTATTTTTGTGTATGTTTGAACTTTTCCAATAAAAAGTTAAAAATAAGGGGGAAAGGAAGGGGCCCACTTGATTGAAAAAGATTTGTTTCACAAGAGACAGACTAGAAAGAGGGAAAAGTTGATCAGACAAGAGAAAAGGGTTGGGTGGGGCAGTTTCCAGAGTGACTCCTCAGCCGGTGAGGGGAATGGGATCCATTGCAGAAGTGGAGGGATGGCCTCAAAATAGGGTCACAGATTGTTATAACCCGAGGGAGGGCAGACTCTTAAACTAAATTATAAGGTCCCTAAGGAACTTTAGATTGTGCCTCATACATACTACTAAAAATACCTATTTTTTTCCTGGGGAAAAGAGAATGTAAACAGGGATAAAAAATGAGAAAGAGAAATAACCAATACTGAGCATTTACTATATACTGGGCACCATGCTAAGCCTAACTACCTTATCTCAATCTTTACTACAATTAGAGGAAGTGTAGGCATTATTATCCCATTTTATAAATAAGGAAATGGAGGCTTAGAGAAATTAAGCCACACAGATAGTAAATAGTGAAGTTGGGAGTCAGACTTGGGTATTTCTGCCTCCAAAACCTATTTCCCTCCACTATCATCATATTGCTTTAAATAGAATCTGAAGTTCAGAATGGGAACTTTAAATTATATTTTATGTAGAAGATATTTATTAAAATTCAAAATTGTTCTCTGAAGTGAAGGAGAAAGAACTCTTAAGAGAATTCATGTATTAACCTTGGGATATTATCAGAGAAGAATAGCCCTCTTTTCTGACTACACTAAAATGACTTTTTGTGCAGTTAAGGATTTAAACTGAATTAAGATAAATAGGTATAATTACATACTGCATTAAGATTTTTAATTAATATTTTTACATTAATTTTCTGTGTTTTTCCTCCCAGATATTGAAATACTTCATGAAACATTTATTAACCTTGAATCAAAGGATCATAGATTACAGAAAGTTAAAGTTATTCTGCTGCTGCCTCGTTGTTCTGGACTGGGTATTAGTAATCCAGTAGAATTCATTTTAAACGAGCATGAAGGTACTTGTTTTAATTTTTAAGTTCTAAATTATTGAAATTTGTTAATGTTTTAAAAATGAAATTGTTTGAAATCATTAAAATGACATACCAGATCCATCTGATTAATGAATAGCTACCCTATATAAAACACTTACTCTGTTATAAAGTATTTTACATCCATTACCTCATTTAATCTTTACACCAATTCTGTGAGGTATGGGCAGGGGAGATATTAAAAATGTTTAATAATTGCAATGATGTAGGCAATCTGAACAGATGCTGGCTCGTATGCTATTCTGGTATAGACTAGAGCTCAAGATATGGGCATTAAAATTCATCAGCATTTTATAGATGAAAAAATTGAGACTCAGAAAGAGTCACTCATTTTTGTAAGATCATGTAACTAGTTAGTAACAGAGCTAGGATTCAGATTTAGACCTGCCTGTGCTCTAAGGTGATCCCAATTAGATCATAATCAAACTATTTGAAATTCAAGACTTCTTTCACCCCTAGTATGTATGTTTAATCATGTGACTACCTCAGATTAAATATTAATTCTGGGAATATTTTATTTGCTTCTTGAATACCGTTTAACATTAACATTTTTGGAGCACTCACGTGTAAGGCACTGAACTGAGCACTCTGCTTGGATTATTTCATCTAATCCTCACAATAACTGAATGAAGTGGCTGCTCTTATTATTTCTCTTTTACAGATACAGAATCTGAGGCTCAGAGAGGTTGAAGCCTCCCAGAGTCAAATTTTGACTAGTTAAGTTTCAGAGCCTGGATTCAAACAGAACTGCTCTGGCTCTGCCCCTTTGAATCATGTTCTTAATCACAGTATATTAACCAAAACTGATTCTTACTATGATCCTTTGTTTATATTGAAAGGTATAGTTAAGGTTAACTAGACTATTAGATGAAAAAAGATATTCCACTAACATTCAGAATATGCTGAGTAGCTGTTTTCTATTTCTAGCAAAGACAATTAAAAATGGAGAAAAAGAAATTGAGAGAAAGAAACTAGTATTTATTGAGTAAAACTATGTCCCAGTCCATACTCTAGGCAGCGTTCATGCACTGTAACTTAATATTCACAATAACTTTGTAAGTATAGTATTATTTTATTATCTATTTTATAAAGGGGGAAAAACCCCAAGGTTCAGAGAAATTTAGCAAGTTGCCTGAGGTTATGTAGCTAGAAAATGGGGAAGCTGGGATTCAAATTCAGATTAGTTAGCACATTCCACCCTACACTATGCAAAGAATTCCATATACCGCACAACTTTTAACTGAGCTTGCACACTGTACCATGTGGAATTCTGTCTTACTACAAAAAAATTTCTTTCTAAGAGAGTTAAACAGAAGAATAACCAACTCAGATGGGAGAATGGTAGATGGAGAAAATTCCTACACTAACTTTGGGAAATGATCAGAGAAGAATGAGTAGACTTTTGAAAGAACAGGGGAAGAAATAGCTGCAGCTGCAGTAAGCATTGCAGTGACGAGATGCAGGAGACTCTGGCCTTTTTCTGGGCATCTTGCAGCAGAAATGCAGAATACAATAAACCATGGGTAAAAATAACCGAGAGGCTGGGGGCAAGAGCCCAAAGGGAACTACAAATGACAGAAGGAGAGAGAGTAAAACGCCTCCTAGATAGTGGTAATATTTTGAAAACGTTGGTGAAGGGGTGAGGATAAGCCTAGAGGTGGTCTTTGGCATGCCCAGAAAAAAAGGAGGATTTTGAAGGAAACTGCTCTGAGGAGGTAATGCCAGAGCAAATAAGGAACTGTTGACCTAGTGGTTATAGAAATACTAGTCATAAATCTAGTGGGGATGAAACTAAAGACTTAGATTCATGAAAAATCATGAATTAGTTTGAAAACCATTTTAACATTGAAAAATATTGCAACCATTTTTAGAATGCTTATCATAAAAATCATGTTTGAGGAATATATGAAGTTGGTCTTTGCTAACAACTTGGACTTATTTTTAAATGGAATGAAAAACGCAAACTGATACAGTTTTAGAGTATAATAATGTATAAATAGTCCTTTAAAAAGTAGTGAATAGATTTAGAAAAATGTGAAGTATAAAACTAAATTGGGAAGAAATGGAGTTTAATTAACCTTTAGTGATATAACTTGGATGCGGAACAGTCAAATATATGGTATAAATAATTGGCTCCCACATTCCAGGAAATTACTGAGAGGAGAATAAAACAGAGGTTAGAAGTTTGGACTCTGGTCAGATTTCTGAGCTAGAACCTGGCTCTAAACTAGAAGCTATGTAACCTTAGACAAGCTGTTTAATGTGTGTATGCTTGAATAGTTCTCTCAATGTTAAAAGGGATGATAATGCTTCACAGGATTGCTGAATAAAATAATCTACATAAAGTAGTTTTTGATATCTTAGTTAATATTATGAAGAAATATGTTAAAAATAGTTTTGGAAATTTAAAAAATTACTGTACAAATTTCTTGATCTATTGTTTCTTTATCTATTATGAGGATCCACGTTTACTTCCCTGAAGTTTTTTCTTCCAAAATTTCTTTTAGTAAGTTAATGTTTTTAACTGTATCCTTTTGTGTTCTTTCTTACTCAGATCTGACTATAGCCCATCAGTTTCTACCTTGGAAAATAAATCTTTTTTCCCTCTAGTAGTCTCCAGACGGACTGCATTCTACTTCTGTACCTAAATGACTTAATTTTGGCTAGTTGGACAACTATCTCATGAGAACCTGGAGAAAAAAGGAAAACTAATATTGAAACTAAGCAAAATTACCTTTATCAATTCATTTTGAAAAAATTTAAGTCAGCATTTTTATAATACTATTTAGTTTTATAAATATTTTCCATGAAAACTCTCATTAATAGGGAAAATGTTTGAAAATTAAATAATGTGACAATAGCAATATATGAAAGACGTCTAATAGTGATATATTTAAAAGCATTTATTTGCTTTTAGATACAGGTTTACTTAAAGATTTCTCCCAAGGAGGCACATCAGAAGATAAACTTCATGTTCTTGCTCAACAGCAGTATGAACAGCTAACACATGCAATGAAATGTAAGTTTGTTATCAGTGCAACCTGAAAATATGTTGTAAATCTGAGAAACATTAATACTTAATTTATCTATTATAATTGGGCAATGATGTGTGAACCATGAGTGAATTTTCCAGAACACTCAGTCTTAGTGCCTTCAAATGTCAATTTGTTTTTACCAATTTAAGTCTTAAAACTATATGCTTTACTATCATTTTTAAGAGGTTAGCAAGAACAATGAACAGTTTCTTAATGCTGAAGTGAAATAATTATGTACATTTATTGTTGGGCAGTTTCATTTTCTCTATTTCTTTTCTTTGTTTTCTTACTTGATATAATGTTTCAATTGTCATTGTACCTGCCCCTAACAACTCTTCTACAATCCAAATTTTAATCAAACTCTTATTTCTCTTAGTATTAAAAAGAAAATAGAGAGATCCGATTACAGATAAAGCCTATCTGTAGCCTACCATTTAGATTTTGGGTGTCACTGCTCTTCCACACATGGATATGGAAATCTAGAATTCTCTGAGAAATTACATAAACATTTATCAGTTCAGTGCATGTTTATCAAATGCCTACTGTGAGTCAGGCATTAGGCTGGATGTTAGGGATATGAGTGCAGATAAATCCTGACCTTCAAAGTCTCGAGGGTAAGTATAGGATATAGATAATTTAATACCTAAAGGTATAGCATACATGAAATAGAAATAAGGCAAAACAGAAAACACAGAGGTGGTCTGCTCTTTTGATTGATGCTACTAATAAACATTAATTTCAATATTATAGTATGTATATGATCTATGAAATGAGTTGGTTGGAAGGTTAGGAAGTTGGCAGATAATACATTTTAAAAATTCTTTCTCTGATTAATCTGTTTAAAATTATAGTACCGCCTTTGGAAACTAACTGTCCTCCAGATCTGCTTTGTTCTTCTTCATAGCTTTTTTCACCTTCTAATACTATGTAATTTTCCTATTTATCGCTTATCATGTCAAATGAAACAGAAAATAGGCCCCTGGGGCTTTTTTTTTTTTTTTTTTTTTTGGTCTGTGTATCCCAAATGGCTAGAACAGTGCCTAGCACATAGTAGGTGTTTGGTAAGTGTGAGTAAGTGGGTCAGTTGCAGGTAGCAATATTACTTCATTTTACAGTTGAAGAGTTGGAGAGTTTAATTAATTTTCCTAGGTTCATGTAGCAGTAACAGAATTGGGATTCTCATCTAAGTCTTGTGTGTTTCTAGAGTCCTTTTTAACTAGTTATGGCTTGTGGAAAAATGGCTGAAAATACCAAGTTTATGGTAATCTGTAGAATGTATTTGTTTGTGTTTGTAATTAGATTGGTCACATGGATTGGATTTTCAATTTCCATACAATCCAGTTAGATTTATTTTAATTATTCGCACAGGCTGCATTACTAAGCAACCCATGCTTTAAAGGGGAGCCAAGGAAGCGTCTATAGAAATCATTCCTATCAAAACCATGTGGTATTAGCATAAACTGATGTTTGAAAGCATAGCAGATTTGTTTAGGATTGTTAATGGGGTTATTATATTAATTCCGTCTTCTTTAAATATAGTTACTAGAGCTCAAGCAATTGTTTACTGCACATGCTCAGTTTATCCAGAAGAAAATGAAGCTGTTGTTAAGAAAGCACTGGAATTTCAAGACCATGGGATTAAAGTACAACCTTATAGGTAAGAAAGGAAAGATTCTTCTAAACAACTCAACCAAATATTTTTGAAAGTTATGATTTCTAAGTTAGAAGTAGAAGACATTTCACTTCCTTTTTGTTAGACTTTAATATGATCAAATAGCTTAACTTCTTAAAACTTTAGATTCTTTAGTCTTTACAATGACTTGGCAGGAGCATTCTCTTGTACACTAAAAGATTCTTGTTATTGTTAAATAAGGCTAAACGCATTTGAGCTTTGACTTGATTGATTTCTGGATAAATTGAGTCTAAACTTTACACCCTGAGTTTTAGATACATCTATGCTTCAGTAGAAGAAAAATAAGAGTATAAAATAGCCTTAGAAAGTAGAGAGAAAATTGGATGCTTTTTATCTGAAAACATATGTTTCGTAGACCCTTTTAGCTTTTGGCACCCACAGGGACTGAGATAAAATAGCCCAAATAACTATAATAGCTTCTCGGTAAAATACTGTCATAAACTAAGGGCAGGAAGAAGGACAGTAATACTTCATCTGAACTGTGGACATCAAGATAAGGAGTAAGTCTAGGAACATGTGATGCCAGCAGACTGGCATCACATATTCTTAGATAAAAATGTCTCCTCCTATTTTTGACTTATTTCTTTTGAGCTGAACTATTCCTGTAATTCTTATAGTAGGATCTTAATGTGTATATAGTTTGCTCCCTCTTTTTAATCTTACATTTTTTTTTGTGGATTCACAAGTGGACATGTTAATCACACTTATATTTCCCTTCTTTCTTCACTTCCTTATTTAGTTACTATTTTTGGTAGCTAACAGCCAACCTTATTTCTGCAAGCTTCTCAACACAGTTAGCTAAATCCCATCTAGTGGCAAAGAGAATTATTGCAGGTAATATAACCAAATTCATCAGTGTGGATGGCTTGATTTGTCCCCCAGGGATAAGGTGTCTAAAAATGTAATATGGCAGAAATAGAGGAACATCAAAGTATTTTATTTTATTGGATTTTTTCTTTATTGCTAATTTATAATTGATTTATAATATCATATTAGTTTCAGATGTATAGCAAAGTGATTCAGTTATGTATGTATTTTTTTTTCAGATTTTTTTCCATTATAGGTTGTTACAAGGTATTGAATATAGTTCCCTGTGCTATACAGTAAATCTTTGTTGCTTATCTATTTTAATTAATCCCATATTCCTGATTCATACCTCCCCACCCTCTTTCCCCTTTGGTAACCATGAGTTTGTTTTTCTATGTCTGTGAGTCTGTTTCTGTTTTGTATATAGATTCATTTGTATTATTTTTTAGATTCCACATATATCATATAGTATTTGTTTTTCTCTTACTTACTTCACTAAGTATAGTATTTTCTAGGTCCATTCATGTTGTTGCAGATGGCAATATTTCATTCTTTTTTATGGCTGAATAATATTCCATTGTATATATACACTACCTCATCTCAAGCAAGTCATCTTTCAGTGGGCACTTAGGTTGTTTCCATGTCTTGGCTGTTGTAAGTAGTGCTGCTATGAACATTAGGGTGCATGTATCTTTTCAAATTAGAGCTTCCTCCAGCTATATTCCCAGGAGTGGGATTGCTGGATCATATGGTAAATCTATTTTTAGTTTTTAAGGAAATCTCCATACTGTTTTCCATACTGGCTGCACCAAACTACATTCCCACCAATACCGTAGGAGGGTTCCCTTTTCTCCTCACCCTCTCCAGCATTTATTGTTTGTGGACTTTTTAATGATGGCCATTCTGACTGGTGTGAGGTGATATCTCATTGTAGTTTGACTTGAATTTCTCTGAAAATTAACTATATTGAGCATTTTTTCATGTGCCTTGACCATGGTGTATGATCCTTTTAATGCATTGTTGGATTCAGTTTCCTAGTATTTTGTTGAGGATTTTGCATCTATGTTCATCAGTGGTATTGGCCTCTAATTTTCTTTTTTTGTGATATCTTTGTTTGGTTTTGGTATCAGGGTGATGGTGGCCTCATGGAATGAGTTCAGAAGTTTTTGTTCCTCTGCAATTTTTTTTGGAATAGTTTCAGAAGGATAGGAGTTAGCTCTTTTCTAAATATTTGGTGAAGCCATCTGGCCCTGAACTTTCGTTTTTTTTGAGATTTAAAATTACTGATTCAATTTCAGTACTGGTCATTGGCCTGTTCATGCTTTCTATTTCTTCCTGGTTTTGTCTTGGGAGACTGTGGCTTTCTAAGAATTTGTCCATTTCTTCAGGTTGTCCATTTTATTAGCATATAGATGTTTGTAGTAATCTCTGATGATCCTTTGTATTTCTGTCATGTTGGTTGTGACTTCTCATTTTTCATTTCTTATTTTATTGATTTGGGCTCTCTCTTTTTCTTGATGAGTCTGGCTTAAGGTTTATCAGATTTGCTTATCTTTCCAGACAGCCAGCTTTTTGTTTCATTGATCTTTTCTATTTTTTTAATCTCTATTTCATTTATTTTTGCTCTAACCTTTATGATTTCTTTCCTTCTACTAACTTTGGGTTTTGTTTGTTCTTCTTTCTCTAGTTGCTTTAGGTGTAAGGTTAGGTTGTTTGAGATTTTTCTTGTTTCCTAAGGTAAGCTTGTATTGCTATAAACTTCCCTCTTAGAACTGCTTTTGCTGCTTCCCATAGGTTTTGGATCACTGTGTTTTCACTCTCACTTGTCTTTAGGTATTCTTTTGATTTCCTTTTCGATTTCTTCAGTAACATCCTGGGTGTTTAGTAGCATATTGTTTAATCTCCACACGTTTGTGTTCTTCACAGTTTTTTCTTAATAGTTGATTTCTAGTCTCAGCATTGTGGTCAGAAAAGATACTTGATATGATTTCAGTTTTCTTAAATTTACCCAGGCTTGTTTTGTGGCCTAGCATGTTAGATATCTTGGAGAACGTCCATGTGTCTGACCCCCTAATATGTCTGTTTCATGTGCAAAATACACTCACCTCATTCCAACATCTTCAAGTCTTCACCCATTCCAGGATCAACTGTGAATCCAAAAATCTCTTTAAATATCACCAACTCAAAAAAATCCCCAGTGTCATTCTCTAAGTCAGTTATGAGTGAGACTTGAATATTAACTTATTATTCAAAGAAATGAGCTATAAGTTGGGGTTTGGAAATACTTTTTTAATGCAGAGTCAATTTCTGTAAATTAACTTAACCAGTATTGATTGTGGATTATTATTATTAGAAAAAATAGCATGTATGTAGATAGAATATATCATAGTCTATTAAATAAATATTTGTTGAATACCTACTATATACCAGGCACTCTTCTAGGTGCTAGAAATGTATCAAATTGACAAAAATCCCAACATTCATATTTACATTCTGAAACTAATTATGTTCCACATTAGTAAGAAACAATTATTTTCAGAATGTATTCTTTACCTCATATATAAGTGAATAGTTTTTTTGATGATTTCTATTTGTGTAGAGAACATATATGAATAAGCCTCAGAAATTCAGTTTGTTAGTTATAAGGTTGGTAAGCAGAGTGATTAGCTCTCTTGCCTTTAGAACCTGCACAGCTATTATATTTCAGCTTAGTTCAGCATAAACATTTTATTAAGCACCACTATTTACCACTCTTTGTCATGTCATTTGAGGTCAAGTGTGTCTGCCCACATCCTAAGTGACCTCTGCATCCCCTGACTTACTCTCTGCCTCAGCCACATGGAAATGCTTGCCGTTCCCTGAACATAGATCTTCATAACACTTGCGCTTTTGTTCATATTCTTCTTTCTGTCTAGAAATCACCCTTCTTTGCCTTATTGGATACCTACTTATTTTTCAAGACACAGCACTGATGCTACTTCCTCTGTGAAGTCTTCTTATTTTCTATCTCCCATTGCCAGAGTTACCTGCACCGTATTCTGTACTCCTACATAATTTTGTCTCTACTTGGCTCAGCATTCTTATTTCGTCTTCTTCATATTATTATGTAACAGTTTTTCCAACTAAATTGTAAACTGTATAAGAGAATTAATATTTATGTGCTTTGCACATAGTAGGCAAATAATGAGTGAATAAATATAAATTTTAAAGTGTTAAATTTCAGAAGATAATATACAAATTTAATAAGAGTTCCTGATATTTTAATTTATATGGAAAAGTATTTAGTGATTTGATAAAATGTTTTAATTTTAAAAGCGTGGTAATATAAGAATTATTTATTATTTATGAATGAACCCTTTACTGTTGAATGAGAAATATTAAATATAAGAACCAAAATTTTATTTTAAACATATTAGTGATTAGAGATTTTTATGTTTCTGACACAAAGTCTTTTCTTTGTTACGTACTTTCTTTTTTTATTTTTAATTTATTTAATTTTTTATTGAAGTATATTATGTACTTTCTTGAATACTTCCTAACTCATCTGTTAGTATTCACAAAGTGACTGAGAAGAATAATGTAGTCATAGGAGCATTTTTATATTGTAATTGTGCAAAAAGTAACCAAAAGAAGGAAGTCATACTTTTTGTATTTTGACATGAGGAAATAACGGAATTTTGGATTGTACCTTTGTGATTACTATACGTATTTACCTGTTTTGATAATGGAAGCCTTTTTTTTTTTTTAAAAACGTTAGTGACTTGGGGAAGAGTTTTTAATATATTGAAAGGTTGCTATCCTTGGCATAGTTGTTTAAAGATGGAAAACTTGGGAAGTGTAATAAATTATTAGCAACATGAAATATAGAGCTTTTAATTTATAATAGTATTGTACTACTTCAACATTTTATTCTTATTTGGAATTTTTGTTTAAACAATTGGTAAAACATAATAAAAGAAAATTTGTTGCAGCTGACTGTCTCCCTTGATTGGCAAATAAGCTATTCTAACTATTAATTGTTTGCTGTTATCTGTTGCAGGCTTAGTCCTCCTGTTCTTCCACTGTGCTCCTTGAAGGAAATACATTTGTCCACTGACAAATTTTTCAGAATGGAACCATCTGAAATTACCAATGGTTGTTTTCTTTCTGTTCTAACAAGGGAGGTAAGGAAAAAAATATGAATCCAAGTCATACTTAGGAATTAAGAAACAACAAAGCCTCATAAGAGGAACCTAAGAAAAATGGTGTGCTTATTTCATAAATAGCTAAAAGGCAGGAAAATTATTACTGTGTGACAAAAATCGCTGTTTTTGTTTTTATTCTTCTCCTGAGTGTTCTTCCCTTGCCCACTGTCTTTCCCACTTCTCTAAGTACCTAGTTTATCTATGGATAACAAATAAGCTCTATAATTTTTTTTTCTATCAGGTTCACAAATGGGGCAGTTTAAGTACTAAGAAAGTCATTTCCTGAGGCTTATGGGATATATTATGGGAGATATATATATATGTGTGTGTATATATATAGAAAGAGAGAGAGACTAAGGCCTAAAAACATTTCTTTTAGTATAATAAAGATACTCTTCTATTTTTACTGAAACACTGATAAATATTTATAATATACACAGTAATAGTTAACTCTGACACTTAGTAACTGCTTCTTTAATTATAGCGGGACCCATCTGAGACAGTGTCTGTGAAAGATGTTTTGGCCCGCGCTGCAGCAAAGGGTCTACTGAATGGGATTGAGTTGGGTAAACCTTCAAAACGGGAAAAGAAGAAGAAAAAATCAAAAATACCATTGCCAAAAGCTCCCACTGCTGATAATAACAGCGTCCAAATGAAAATTGCTGAGTTCCTGAGTCGAGAAACTAATGCAAATGCTAATCGGTCAGAGGCATTAACGACAAAAACATCTCTTCCACAGAAAAATACAAATCAAGTGGGTTCTTCCCCACAGGTCAGAAAAACCAACAAACCCACCACCAATCCTTTAGCGCCTACGTTTATGAAGAACACACCTCCTGCCAGACCCTATGAACGGCTGACAAACTTTGTGAGACCTCGCCCAGAAGATAGAATGATTGCACTGAAACCCATAGAGATTGTTTTGCCTCCAGTAATGTTGCCATTTTCAAGTTCCCAAGGGATCAGGTCTCACGTACCAACTCAACAGTTTTACTGTCGTTGGGTTGGGCCCAAGACTGTCATGCCTGGCTATCTTTCCACACCATCAGTACCCAGAAGGGGGGAAAAGCCTAAAGATAACTTACCTTCCTCCCTCCCCAGACGTCCTCGACCATGGCTTTGACTGTCTTGTGTGTTTTACAGGGGTCAAGAGTAGTTGAATTTTTTTTCAAAGTCTGCTATTTCTCTGAAGGTTAGATATCCCTACACAAAGTACTCATTCTTTTGATCACTTAGTGTCTTCTAAATCTGATTATTACCTTCAAGAGAATTAAGACAAATGAGAATAATGTATGTGAATTAAGCAAAGCAGAATTCAGAGATTTCAACAGCTGGGTGCTGGTCTGCTTTAGACTGTCATTCTGTAGACTCCGTGTCTCACTCTTGTTAATTTTCAGTCGGGACTTAAGACACTAGTTTAAAAAGAAAGCTGCAACAAGTTTTCCTGAAGGGAAACACTGTGCCTTATAACATACCCTTTTAGAAATCAATTTGTGAGGCAGTTTATTAGAAAGCATAGATACGGAAAAGGTGCTCTCACACTGACTTCAGTGCCCTTCCGTATCTAGTCAGCTGTAGTTTAACATTTCAACACTATTAAGGTTGACTTTTTTCCCTTAAATATCAAAATATTCTTTAAACAGGGGATATTATGAGCTTTTGTGATGTGACTGAGGTTGAGTCTGAGTAGGAAGAACAGGAAGTGCCAAGGTTCCAGGTGTGGGTAGTTCAAATGTCTCTTCACAGAGTGAAGACTGTTTCTCATTGGAAGAGCTTCCAGGATCTGGGGCAGATTGAACGTAAGCGCTCCCTTCTGACTGTTTATGCCAAATATTGTTGTAAAAAAGTGACTGTAAGCAAACCTCCATCTAAATAGTAATTCTGAGGAAGAGGCAAAACTGTTGAATACAAGTGACACACCTGTATTTGAAGAAATCTTTACAAATTTCTGATTCTATTCAAAGATCAGGTGAAATGGTCATTTCAAATGGCACACAGTAATTAAACTTGGGTAAATCATTTCGGATGTGCAATTAAAATACATGTAGCACTATTTTAATTATATTAAGTCAATTCATCTTGACTGTATTATCAGTTGCCTTCAAGAATTGGTTATGATTATCATTTCTGGGTCTATTGGCTCTTTTTCATCATGGCAACAGAAATTAACATTAAAAAGTTACAACTATAAGTTTTATTGTTTGAAGAAATGTTCATAGACACATTCATAAACTTTGAATTTAAAGTTCTGTTTTCAGAACCTTTTATGTTGACTTGTGTTACGTAAATTCATAAATTTCAATTCAGGTGGCATGATTTTAATAGGATTTTATCCTCTTCAAGATGAATATTTAGGTCTATTTCAGCTCTAACATTCTATAATTTTCTCACTTGAAGGATAAAAAATGGTGAACTTTGTTTTAGTAGTAATAAATTTTTTTAACTGAAGATTTACATTTATCAGTAAAATGTGTCAGTGAAGAAAGGAAACATGACTTTTTATAATTGAACCAGACTTCTTATTTCTAAATCCCAAAAGAATTCTCATATTATGAGTCTTAAAAAACACAGAAATGTTTTAAATGCTTAGCTTATTTACTGATTTCAAAAATAAGAAACTGTATAATCTTTGCTCTAAAAATTATAGTACTTTTTTTCTTATTCCCCCTCTCTGACCTGGAGTATCTCATATCTCCGGGAGGCTAGTGCAGCTTAACTGAACTTTATTCAGTAAAGAGCTGGTATTTTATCTCAGGAATCTTTTGTCCATTTCCTGCTGTCTTCCCTCTGCCCCAGGCTGAAGAGTATTCCATTGTCCAAAAGTAGCAGGTCTGAGATTTTTATTTTCTGTAATCAGTTATAAAGAAACTAATTACTGTTATGAAATAGTTCAGAATATTTTTCTGATTTCTATAGCAGCATGTGATTTAAGTCATGTCACAACTTTAAACACTTATTTTCAGTATATTATAACATGAATCTTGTCAGTAAATTATTTTTCTCTTTATAAGTATATGGAGATTTTGAATTAAACCACTCATTCATTAAGCCTACAGTTTTCTTCTTTGAGACTCTTTTAAGAAGGACGTGATTATTTATATACTTTGGTAGAGTAAAAGGGAAAATACTTTGGATAAAAACAATATGCAAGGATTCTAATGGAGAATATTGATTGCACTATTCTTCTTTCTTGAGCTTTTTAAAGTGCTGCAAAATTCTAAAATAATGACATTACTGGTATTTAGGTACTCCAATAGCAAATTCAGACTTTTATCTATAATTAGTTACCATTATATAATACCTGAAACCAAATGAAATTTTTTTCCTTGAGAGTAACTGCCTTTGATAGAGTAAAACAGATAAATTACTGGGGGAAATGCAAGAAGAACAGAAAATGGGTACATAACTTGAATTCTATTTGTCTTCTTCCATATGGCTAACAGTTAAACTAAACCAGATTCAACTGATTTGTTTTTCTAGTTACCTTTCATTTGGATTTAATCCCTGTACAACTTTTTCATTCTTTGATACCAGGTTCTTAAAGGAAAGACAGACTGTTTTCCTATTAGAAAAAGTACTTGTACAAGTGTCAAGTTGGTGACTGAATAGGCCTCTCTGTTCACAATGCCAGCTGTCCTTCCTGAGTACCAAGTAAGGGCAGTGTGATGTATTATTCAAAATTTAAAGTTTGTTTCTAGTCCTTACCAGGTGGTGCTAGCAGAACCTTACTTACTAAAATGATTTTTAATTTGAGGCAAGAATAATTTGAAAATAAAATGACTGGTGTGGAGACACTAAGCTTTTATTTCTATTTCTGGATACGTATGACTGAGATGTCAGATAAATGAGCCAAACGTTTTATGCAGCTAATTTTATTCTCACAACATGTTACATTTAAATGTGTAAAAGTGGTCACTAGCAAAAGGGGCAGAGAGCAAAACCAAATGTTCTTTTGGGATAAACGAGCTGCCCTGGATGGCAGGGGGTGCACTGGCTGATAAAGGGGGAGCATATCTTCTCCCTGAAGCTGAAATAAATTAAACTTCATGTGACTGGCTGCCTTACACACATGGTAGCTGTGTATTGGGTTAACTATGCCTGGCAAACTAGAGAACTAATGGTTTTACTAGTTAGGTTGTGCTCATATCAGTAAGGGAAATGTTTCTCACATTGCTTATGAAATCTTGAATTTGTGTTGCAATGCTTATAAAATAAGTGTATCATATAAGAAAAGGAGGAAGGATTTAGTGCTTCTGGTAAATGACCTTGTGTAGAATCAATCATTGTACAAATGTTTGTCATAAAATCATAAAGTGGAATTTTTAAAAAAAGTAGCAGTGCCAACAGTTTATCACCAAAAACTTATTTTAATGGAAATGGGTCTGATGGCCCTTCATGCAGTAAGACAGACAAACAAAAACAATGGTCCTTGTTAGCTATTGGTGATCTATATCCAGGTGGAAACAAAGGGCATGTGGACATGTGTCTGTCTCTTAGATGAGCTTACACGTGTTGTGAAGGATATAAAAACTAAGCACCAAGCAGTGCTTTAAGTTTGCAAAGTAAAGTGTTTAGCCATAGGCATGTTGGCTATTGCCCTTGATGTGGCCAAGGAGCACGTAGATGAGGTGGCAAGTCTGCGTCTATCTAGCTGCTTTTAAAAAATAAAAGGAACTTTAAGTATTTGGCCTTTTCGTCTACATATTCCAATAAAAATGTGACTACAAATCATTACAAAACCACCTTTTAGGCAATGTATAGTTCACTGAGATTACTGAGACCTGGATACATTGTCAGGTAATATCCAGTAAAGATAATACATTAACACAATTATGTAGTATATTTCAGTAAAAAATAGAATAAATAAAATAAAAATATTTTAAGCTGTATTTAACAGGTTAATTAAAAAAATGATAAGACATACAAGGCATAGTGAACATGGCTGCCTGTTTACCAAATCACAGATACAAAGAATGCATAGATAACCGAAGTGTCACTACAATATCAGGTAAAACACTGGCATCCTTTCACAGAAAATACACACATACTTTCATACATACTTTTTGGCCATGGCAGAAAGTGTCTGAACATACGGTTTAACATAATTAATTTTACAAAATTAATTGCATTTAGTATGCAAAGCTATTTTTAAAACAAAATATCTGCAGTAAAGTTTTCAATATGTAAAGGCTATCATTCATCTTAATGCATCCTATAATTGCATATATAAATCAGTTTGCTACTTAAAGCTAGCTCAGTATTCTTGATCCTGAAAACAAATGTATGCCTTAAAAAAATGAATGGGGTTCTGGTAGAGATTCCCAATACAAAAATGGATCACTTGTTCAGAATTTTGAAGCTTATCACACTAAAATGTTTCACTGTGGAGAGCAAGATGAAAGATCATGATGACTGAATGTTGAACAGCTTTTCAAAGGGCAAAGTAAGGATTTTCTTAATGCAGTAATTTCTAATTTCTCATGGTATCATTGGTTACTTCAGAAGAACAGTATGTAGGCTGGTGAGAAGTATAATTCATTTCTAGAGTGGCATCTTTTTTGTCAGAACACAAGGGTGCTAGCAAACCATTCCAGAATTCTGAGAGGGAACAGAGGTGGGAGGCCACCTGCTCATTCCATCATGTTCTCTGGTGGCTAAGTATCAGGAGTTAGGAGTCTCTCTACCACAGGACCATCATCTCCGGACAATCTCGTGGGCTGGACAGGCTGTAATGCATGTAGAATCCTGTCCTTTACAACACATTTGAGGCACACTGCAGGAAAACACTCCTGGACTGAGAGAGGGCAATGGTTTTATAATGAATACCTGCGTGAGTAATTTGGACATATTTCCTACTTATACAGGGAGTCCTAAGATTGCCCGACAATAATTGGCTATGCCCAGAGTAATTCTGCAAAGATTCCTCCTGACTGGTGTGGAAGCAGTGTGATTTAAAACTGGGAGTTGAGAAGCATGGGTCCTAGTCCTGGTTTTCTCACAAACGTCTGTGAGATCTTAGGCTAAGTGATTGAGCCTCTTGGTAATTCATAATATTTTTTATTTCTCAAATATGTTAGTATCTTCTCTACTGTATAAGGCTCGACTGTGATGATAAGAATGTGGAAACCATTTTCACAAGTACACAACAGTAGATAAACAAAGCGTTACTGTTATAACTGGATGTTATAAATGACAATTTCATCATTGAAAAGTAAGTAGAACTAATGCTTTGAGCTTAGCAACTTCTTTTTAAAACAAGTGTCAACAAGTGTATCTTTACAGCTAAGTTTCTCATCTATAGAGAGAGAAGCAGGAGAGTGCTATTTGGGGAAGACTTGTTAAATAGTCCATTGTTCCCGTGTATATTTTGCTCCAATATGAAATTTTTTAATCTTGAAAATAAATGGAAAAAAATAAATTTAAAAATATATCTAGAGTCCAACAAATTTTAATATTAAATACATAAATTCAGAAAGGCTCAATTTCGTGTAATTTGTTGCCATGGACAATACATGATGGACAGACAGCTTTCTGGGCAAAAAGCATTCGGGTAAGATTAAGCTAGATGCAGAATTCTAGCAGAACATTTATTTAGGAGGTGGGAAACAACATAACGTGGTGGTGGAGGTCTAAAATATAAATGACATTTCCTCAACTCCAAATTGCATATCGGCTAATTATCAAACTAAGGATGAAAGGCTTATGAGGACTATTTCATTTTAATGTTCTTTATGTAGAGAATGGCCATAGTGAACTATAATTCTCTAGCTGCATTGTACAATATAAGGCAGAAGTTTGAAATAGGTCCCACCCAAAATGCATTATGATTTTGTCAATCTCTTTCTTTTTGTTAATAATCAGTTTGAAAAGCATCTGAAAAGAAAGGCTATTTTTGTTTGATTTTAATTTCTGAAATTTAGTTTTTCAATTTTGAAGCTTCACTTTTGTTTTTTTTCCCAACATCCCACAAACAGCTGTAGACATGAAATGGTGGTGTCCATGTGTCAAAGAGCTTGTCAAGGAAAGCTGCCAGTTGGTTTCTATACTGATGCCAACAGCCAATTTTGTCAACCAAAGTTTCAATTTTATGAAAAACTAAAACAAAAATTCGTCATCCTATTTTTACAGCAATTCAATGGTATCTGTTATGCAGTGTCTACTCCAATGTTGAAAACAAGGCAAAGTGCTGTAGGACTTAAAAGTTGCTTGTGACAGATCCAGTCAAGAAGACAGTGAAACTAATAACGCAGGCGTCATTCACTCCAAGCACTCAGCATCAGTTCACTGGGAGGGGCGTGGCCACATCCTTCCCCGTGTGCGTGTGGAGTTACGTGACAGTCACGATATTTACAATCAGAAAGACCTTCCACTGCTCATGATGTAACTTACTGACAGCAAAAAAAATTAGTCATGCTTCTTTTCATATCACACGATGGTGGCAAGACGAGAGAACATGCTTGTCTAACACTGTTTGGTTAAGGATAAATTCTCCGAAGACAAAGCATCAGCAACTGAACGGAAGGCCGGAGATCAGTTCCTCCTCTTTAGTGTAGCTGTTCAATCTCCAGTAGATATCACAGCATCCTTTCACATATGCAGCTATGGCGTTTCTGTGACAGGGCGTTTCTGTTTCAAAGTGTCAATGAGGGACAAGACCCCCCGTTTTACATTGGTTGTGACTCTTCTGGTCACTGAGTCTGCTGGCGGAGGAGGTGGTCGGACTTTCTGTGAAGGTGGCCTGGCTACCAAGCACTTCTGGTATCGTAACTGAAATAAGGCAGAACAGTTTTATGGTCGTTAATATCCCTTCTTGTTTAACGTGATTTTAATTCATCACCAGTATATTTACTCCCAAAGGTTAATGACCTGGCTCCTAAACATGAATTGAAAAGAGTTTACTATTTTTTTTTCTTAATGTGGAGTATTTTAAATTCTCTTAAAAGACCGTTATGCTCGACAAAGCTGTTTTGGCTTTTGCTATCTTTTTCTCCCATCCATTTCCACCCTCTGCTTGTTCTCTATATTGATAGACTGCGATTAATATACTTCATAGTCAAAGAGCTAATAAGGAAAAGACAAAGGATTGGGAGAGATATTATTAATTAAATCTTTCCTCAGAGACAAGTACATAAAGTATGTGCTCACAGCTGATTGAGAGACAGCATGGTAGAAAGGGCAGAATTTGAATGTAGGCTCTACCACTTGGGAACTGTATGACGCCGGGCAAATTATTACACCTCTCTGAGCCTCAGTTTCTTCATTTGTAAAATGGCTGAAGAACAGGGACCTTAAGAGTGTTAGGATTAAGGAACACTTGCAGAATGCCTAACATAGGCCCACCAACACAGAAGGCATTCATAAATGTTGTTTCCTTTTCTATTTCCTGCTTTAATTTTAAAAAACTATGTACTGAGATTTCAAGATACATTTTATTTACAAGTCTAAGTTTTAATGGATTAATTTTTAAAAATCCATTAGCACTGGCGCCACGGACAGTTTCTGCCCTTCAGAAACATAATGACCCAATCACCTGCTTTGGTATCAATGAAAAGATACGTAATTCTTCAAAACTAGGTTAAAAGGGTAATATGTACCAAACATTTTTCCCTAATCCAAGCACTTTAAAATAATTCCATGGCTGATTTTTAAAAACCTACTTAAATACGAATGAGTTCCTTAAAACAACTGTGAAACACACTGATGTTCCCCCGAGAAGTAGAAACTATCCTACAGCAAGACTGTCACAACGCTCTGTCATAGCCCACAGGCCACAAAATTAGCCCCTTTCAACCCAATCGTACGAAAAATTGACCAGTTTGTCTCCTGTGTGTAAAATACATTGCTGGGTCTGCGTCACAACCAAACTACAAACTTCCAAAGCACAGACTGACAAATGGACAGGCATGGCAATGTGGTATGCTGAACTGGGAGTTTCTACTGTTGGTTAAGTTACATCCAGTGAATCAAAATTGTGCCTGATAAATTATTTCATTAAGAGGACCCCTGTCTCACTCTAAATTTCATCAAAATATTTTCAGCTGGGCCTATACCACACAGCTGCAAAATATGCCTAAAAATTAAGTAGACTCAAAGGAATGTGTTAACACTAGAGATTATTTCAGATTATATTAAATTCATACATAGATATTTCAGATGGAGAATCATGCAGATTTGAATCAAGAGGAAAGCCGCTGAGCTAGAAATGCTGGCTGCAGAGCGTAAAGAAAGGTTTGATTTTATCAGTATGCCTGACACTGGACTGGCTGAGTCATTTCAGCTGGTTGCTGTGATATAATTAAAATAGTAAGCAAACGAGTAAAAATTGTTTCTAGGAGAGGAGATGAGTCTGGGAATGAGAACAAACTGTAACCAGTAATAAAGCTAATTATTTAATTGTCCTCAGCATTTAAAATGTATAATTAAGGCTGAAAGCCATTCATTTTATGACTAAAACCATCTGTTCTGATCCTTCTCCATTTCATGAAATACCTAAACAGTCATCATCCACTTTTGCTTGGCCACACTCTCCCGCTTTCTATTTTCTTCACACAGTCCTTTCATCCCATCTCAACCTCCTGTGCATGGTCAGGAGGTTCACCTCGACTCCTCTCCCACCCAGCTCCCCTCCACCCAGCCCTGGTCCTTTTACGCAGGTGGATTTGCGTCAGAGCCCTGGCCCCGTGGTACCCGAGGGGAAACTGCTCTAACAAGGGACTTGGGTGAGAATGAAGTCAGGTAATAAATGCACAGCACAGGGCTTCTCTCCCCGCTTTTCCCATCTCCAGTTCAAAGATGGCTTTTAAGATAAAAGCCAATTGGCTCTCTTCTTGTCCCCCATCTCTGCCTCTGCCATCCAGCGCATCCTTCCCCCCTCTTTCTTAACCTAGCAACGTACTGTCTGTGACGAAACAGAGACTGCCCTTAACTCCACCTGTTCCTGAACGCATGGCATCTTCTGCCCAGTCTCAGTCACTCTAACCAATCAGCAGGCTAAGCCCAACCCCAGGCTCTCCATCTACCACCAGGACCTTGGACCAACTGTAAGCGTGACCCCCATTCCAATCCAGCTTCACCGGTTCTCCTCCCTCAGCCTCAAAATTGTGTGACTCTCCCCGGTCCCCAAACAAAGGAGCAAGGGCCCCAAGGGTGTGCCTCAAGCCACTCCTTTACCTCAGGCCTGATGTGTGATCTGTTTTCAGGGCCCCTCTCCTCCCAGTTACTCCTCCATCCACTGCAGTCTTACACTTTCACTGAGAGTACTTTCTATGCCATAACAGAAATTGGGTTTACGTGTTTCCCCCATATACCCAAACTCTGTAATGCAAGGACCATGTCTTAGTCCTACTTGAACTTCCCAGAGTCTGGCCCATAAACAGTGGAGTGAATTAACTGAAGTGCAGGTGCTTCAAATCCAGCACTCCTCACCCCTAGCCAGGTGCCTCCAACACCGCTCCTATTTCTTCCCACTGCCACTCCTGGTTCAGACGCAGCTCTCCCCTGGAGCAGTAAACTGGCCTTCTGGCCTGTCTCCCCACTTCAGCCTTGTCTTTTCAACCCTCTTCTGCTTTGTTTTCTCCATTTTTTTCTTTTAAAGACTATGCTTTTGAAACCTAACATGTTCTATTCACTCTTCTGCTTAAACAATCTTTGCTGAAGATAACACCTTGGCGTGAGGTCACAGGCCCTACATGACATGGGCCTCGCCTCCAACTACACCTGCTATTGCTAGAATACACCATGCAGCCCAGATCTGGATGCTTGCATTTATACAGCTCCCGCCTTACTAGAATTCTGCCAGTACCCAGAATAATAGGAGATCAAGGGATAGTTGCAGAACGACTGATGAGGTATTTTTGTTTGAACTCATATACGTGGCCCAAAGGGCCCTGGCTTTGTTGCCTGGAGACCTGGGGATGAACGCAGTCTCTATCCTTTACCAGCCCTGCCCTGGGGCCCGTCCTTTTCCCCAGCTTCTGTTTCCTCATAAATAAAAGAGGGCTGCCTAACCGGGCTGTGGTAAGAACTGCATTCACAGACATAAAGTAAACCAAGTGTGTAAGAACAATGCACTTAAACCAACTATCTGAAATAAAAATCATTCAATACACTGAATTTTTTAAAAGTACTGAGTTGGTTCCAAAGAGCAAAAAACTCACGCATGACCAGCATTTCCTGATCACACTGAAATTAGGGGTCAAGAATTGGGAACCCTCAAATTTGTGGTTTTGAAGATTATCGTTTTCAGTGCTACTGGAGTCTCCACAGAAGCACTTGGCCCCATCCGGTCCTGCTTCCTTCGGGTGTCCTGGCCTCCTGAGACAGCAGAGTGTTTGTCATTGATTCTGCCCACAGGATGAGGGTGTTCTTGCATACTTGGCTTACGTTGTATCTGTGAACGCAGTTCTTACCACAGCCCTGTTGCACAGCTAAGCATTACTTTAGAGCTTAGGCTTTGCTACTTTTAAGTTAGTGACCCTGCTCCAATTGACAGCATGTTAGACAAAAGCCCAGGGCACGAGGGCCGGGCCACTCACCATGCAGGCGGCCTGCACCGCCTCAGACACGTTCCCGGCATTAGGCTCGCACCAGAAAACATGGCACTCAAAGTGCTGGTTCCCAGTGTCCATGATGAAGGCAAACGTGTGCACATCCTTCCCGACGCCCATGAAGGACAGGAACCGCACCCGACACTCCACTAGGATTTCCTCTTCATTCTGCAAGAGATGCTGGTGAGAGCCCGCGCTGCAGGAAGCCAGGCAACAGCCACAGGCACAGTCGGACCTAAGTCAGCATCTGCTTAGTGCGGCTGCAGACAGGAAGTGGTATTAAAAAAAACATAGCCAGACTGAATTTAGAAAGGAGCAGCATCTTTCTAGAAAGGTTAGTTTCTGAATGTGTCTGGGGACGCCACTGCTGCTGTGGGTGCCGCATGCTGGCATTTAATCTCACTCTGAACTACACTGCAAGTGGTGTGTGCGATCCCTTCTCTGACCGCTGCATTCAAGCCCGTGGGATCACCGGGGTAGGAGCAATGTCATGTACACTATATATCCTGCCCATCCAGTGGCTCAGAACCCATTCTCTCAGGCAAACCCACTGGAAACCCCAGAGCACCAAGAGAAAAGGAGCCATGGGCTCTTTCCATCCGTGTCTTTACCCAGAGTGAACAGCACGTTGAATCACGTTTCTACCTAAAACTGTGTAAAACAAAAAGTTGTCAAATCCCTTTTTAACCCCCCTTTCACAAACTGGTATCCAAATAATGATGTGTGAAGAAGTGTCTGGAAGTCATTCTTATGAACACCACATCCTTTGCAGCAGCCATGTGCAATTTTTGAATTAGTAAATACATCCAGAATGGTGACTTTTGGCTCATTAACACTTTGACTTATGTAAAGGGGCAGAGCACAGAAGGAGCAGCCCTGGCAGAGTGCTGAGGTAGGAAAAGGCACCACATGTTTGCAGACTCGAAGAAAATCCCACGTGGCAGGCTGGAGTGGCAGGCAGGCAGGGCCAGTGAGCAGCTTACTTCTTTTTAGAAACTAAACTGGGCTAGAAGGTGAGCTGCTCATGGATAGAAGCAAGAGCAGGCCAAGGATTTATGGTTTTATCATGACAGGTGCTTCACCGAAGCAGGATGGAAAACTGACCGTGCTACTTCTAGCTGTGTGACCATGGGCAGTTACTTAACCTCTCTGTGCCTCAATTTCCTCAACCACAAAATTGGGATAATTTGGGTTGAGGCTAATGCTGGCCTCTCTCCAGATGACCCGTGGCCCCTGCTACCACAGGACCTTCCATGAGAGAAGCGTCTCCTGTGCCCCAACCCCAGACAACACAGCCCAGTCAATACTGGAGCCTGGAGAGTGGCCAGAAAACCAAGCCCCATTAGTGAGTTACTGTTAGAATCGTAGTGTCACTTCTGACTAATGACATCAATCTCCTGGGCACAGCAGGAAGGAAGAATGAGGAACAATGGACTAGAAGCCTCTGAGGTATGCAGAGATACAGACACAAAGGGAGGAGTTTTTGTTTTTTGCACATAGGCTATTTTAATCACAAGCAAGCACACCTTCCCAGAGGTCAAGCCTTGGCACATGCCTAAGTTTCATGGAAGATTACTGTATCCAAAATCTCACTGTAACCCAGAAAGACCAACTGCATCTGCCACCCTCCTTACCGTCTCACTGATGACAGTCACAGTAGCATCGGCCACGTTCATGTGCACCGACGGCCAGTCCTCCTTGCTGGACGAGGTCATGAGACTTTCTATGGCACTGTTCAGGGTATCCATTCCTGTGGATGGAAGGGACAACTGAAAAAGGTCCTAAAGCTATTTCTGACTCTCAGATGTGGGCCCAAATCACCCAGTGACAGCTATGTCCAGACTGGTCTTTTATTTGTAGTCCCAGACAAGACATTTTATTTGAGCATTTCATTGCTC